TAATTTAGATTTTAAAATAATATATAATAAAGCTTTTGTTCCTCCGAAAGTCACAACTCCTGGAATTCTCACCATCTCCACAAAAATGAGCCCATAAAATTCTGAGGATATGGAGCTGGACACACCCAGCTGCCTCCTGGGTTTTTAATTCCTGAACTAAACTCTGTTTGCGTTTCTCCCCTCGGGGTCTCGACCCCAAACGCCCTTTGAGGAACAAGGGTTTGGCCAAGGGCAGCTCTGAGATGGGGAGAGCAAAGGAAAAACGGGAACTTCCCAAATCCAGGGGGAAAGTTGATTTGGTGATTTTTTTAAGAACGGTCATGGAATGGGTTGGGTGGGGAGSGAACTGAAATCCCATCCCATTTCCACCCCAGGGATCCCCGATCCCAGAGCRCTCCCAGCYCCAATGTCCAGCCTGGCCTTGGGCACTCAAAGGGATCCAGGGGCAGCCACAGCTGCTCTGGGAATTCCATCCCAGCCCCTCCCCACCCTCCCAAAATCCAACCGACCCCCAACTCGCAGCTCCGTCCCTCCCAAACCTGAGGCCCTGCACAGAACCGGCCCTGTTCACACCAATAAACTGATTTTTCCTCACAAATACTCCAAGGGGTGGATGAAATTCCCCCTTTGGGACACAAATCCCACCAGCCCAAGGAATTTCACCACCTTCTGGACCTTCTACAGGGCATTTCAAGAGTGCACCCGGGATGTTCTGAGATTGATCCACCACGATCACCAAATCCAGCCCCGACTCTGCACCAGGAAGGGAAAACGGGAGCTCCAGCTGAGTTTGGTACCTTTAAAAGCGATGTGAAGGGTGGAGGATGGAACGGTTCCAGAAACTGCCACGGGTACCGGGCTGGGACGGGCTGCACGCGCTTCAGAGACCGGGATTAGGAGTCACAATGGTCTTGGTAAATCGTGGAAATGGTCTGGAAAAAGAAGGGAAAAGAGAAAGAGACGCTTCAGGAATGGCAGGGGAAGAGATGAGGCGGAAATGATCCACAGTGTGGTCAGCAGGGAGATAAACACAGGTGRAGGAAGGGGGATTTGGGGGGAAATGTCAGGATTTCTGCAGGTCACAAACAGAACGCGCTATAGCGGGATCAAACCAAATACTGCAATGGGATACAGAGAGGGAAAACGTCCAATGAGCAAACAAAGGGAACTTCTCATCTCTTTGGCCCCACAGAGGTTCTGGCGTTGGAATTTCRGTCACAGAGGMATTCCTAAATGCAGGACTTYTCAGTGAGAAATTCCCAAATATGGGACTTTTCAGTCAGACCCTGGAGAAATCCCCAAATGCTGGACATTTCATTCACAAAGGAATTCCCAAATGAAGGACATTTCAGTCACAGAGGAATTCCTGAATGAAGGACATTTCAGTCAGACCCTGGAGAATTCCCCAAATGCAGGACATTTCAGTGAGAAATTCCCAAATGCAGGACATTTCAGTGAGAAATTCCCAAATATAAGACATTTCAGTCAGACCCTAGAGAAATCCCCAAATGCCGGATATTTCAGTCACAGAGGAATTCCCAAATGCAGGATATTTCAGTCAGATCCTAAAGGAATCCCCAAATGCAGGACATTTCACAGAGAAATCCCGAATTGCAGGACATTTTAGTCAGATCCTAGGAAAATATCCCAATTGCAGGACATTACAGTGAGAAATTCCCAAATGTAGGACATTTCAATGAGATCCTAAAGGAATTCCCAGTTGCAGGACATTTCAGTCAGATCCCAGAGAAATCCCCAAATGCAGACAAAAAGGATGATCAGGGATGGAGAGAGCACGGACTGGGAAACCAGAGAGGAAAATCCCATTTTTGGCATTGTCACAGTCGGAAAAGCCCCATGAGATCACCCAGTCCAACCAGGA